CTGGTCCCACCAAATCCCCTCCCCCAGGCGCCGCTTCCAGGAGTTTTTGGGATAATTCCTGGGAATGAGGGCTCTGCCCCATCCAACACCTGACCGCCTTTTCCATGGGGAAATATTCCCAAGAATCCAAGCTGGACCATTTCCCCATGGAAATCCCCATCCCTTCTCCACCCTCATCCCAGTGATCCCTCATCCAATCCTGATGGATTTGAGGCCTGGCTGTGGAATTCTGAGGGATTTGGGCTCTTTCCTGGCTCTGCTCAATCCTGGATTCCCTCGGCATTCCCAATTTCCAGGGTTCCTGGGATGGATTCCCTGGGATGGATTCCCTGGGATGGATTCCTTGGGATGGATTCCCTGGGATGGATTCCTTGGGATGGATTCCTTGGGATGGATTCCCTGGGATGGATTCCGTGGGATGAGGGATGGGGATTATTTGGGGTGGGGATTATTTGGGGTGAGGATTATTTGGGGTGGGGATTATTTAGGATGGGGATTATTTGGGACGGGGATTATTTGGGGTGAGGATTATTTGGGATGAGGATTATTTGGGATGGAGATTATTTGGGGTGGGGATTATTTGGGACGGGGATTATTTGGGACGGGGATTATTTGGGACAGGGATTATTTGGGGTGGGGATTATTTGGGATGGGGATTATTTGGGATTTGGAGCCGAGGTTTCATTCCCATCCTGGCGTTGGGAGAGGATTTTAGGGATGTTCCTCGAGATTCCAGGGATTTTTGGCTCCTCAAATGACCATTTTTAGTTCCTTAAATCCCCTCTAAAAGAAGATTTAAGGAATTAAATCCATTCCAATGCTGCCTGGGATCTCCAGGATCCCACGGAACTGCCCCTCCAAAGAATTTTGGGATCATTTTGGAAGTGTCCAGGATCGTTTTTGAGGGGTTTGGGATAATTTTTGAGGCTTTTGGGATCATTTCCAAAGGGTTTGGGATCCTTTCCAAAGGGTTTGGGATCATTTTGGAGGGATTTGGGATCATTTTGGAAGGATTTGGAATAATTCAGGAAGGATTTGGGATAAACTTGGAAGGATTTGGGATCATTCTGGAGGATTTAGGGATAATTCTGGAGGATTCAGGGTAATTTTGGAAGGATTCAGGATCATCCTGGAAGGATTTGGGATAATTTTGGATGTATTTGGGATCATTCTGGAAGCATTTGGGATCATTCTGGAAGGATTTGGGATCATTCTGGAGGATTTGGGGATAATTTTGGAAGGATTTGGGATCATTCTGGAGATGTTTGGATCATTCTGAAAGGATTCAGGGATAATTTTGGAAGGATTTGGGATCATTCTGGAGGATTTTGGGATAATTCTGGAGGATTCAGGATCATTCTGGAAGGATTTGGGATAATATTGGATGTATTTGGGATCATTCTGGAAGCATTTGGGATCATTCTGGAGGATTTAGGGATAAATTTGGAAGGATTTGGGATCATTCTTGAGGATTTGGGATCATTCTGGAGACTTTGGGATCATTCTGGAGGGACTTGGGATAATTTTGGAAGGATCTGGGGCAATTTCTGAAGGTTCCCAGGGATAAAATCCCATTTTAACACCGATTTTTTGCATTTCCCACCATCCCTCTCCTTCCCCCTTCCCCACCCCTCCATCCCGTGATTTTCCCGGGATTTTCCCATGATTTTCCCGTGATTTTCCCATGATTTCCCCGTGATTCCCCATGATTTTCCCATGATTTCCCCGTGATTTCCCCATGATTTCCCCATGATTTTTCCCATGATTTCCCCGTGATTTCCCCGTGATTTCCCCGTGATTTCCCCGTGATTTCCCCGTGATTTCCCCGTGATTTCCCCATGATTTTCCCATGATTTCCCCGTGATTTCCCCATGATTCCCCATGATTTTCCCATGGTTTTCCCGGTGTTTCCCAGTGCGGAAGCTGGCTCCCAACGAGTTTCCCCACAAGCTGTACGTGCAGAATTACACGTCGGCGGTGCCGGGGACGTGCCTGACGCTGCGCAAGTGGCTCTTCACCACCGAGGAGGAGGCGCTGCTCAACGACAACGACCTGGCCGTCGCCTACTTCTTCCACCAGGTATTCCCGCCCGGAATTCCCAGCTGGAATTCTCCTGGAATGCTCCTTTCCGATGGGAGAGGTGGTGGAGTGCAGCGGTTGATCCCAACGTTGGGAATTCCAACTGGTTTTATGGGATGGAGGCACTCCAAGCTTGGAATTCCCACCTGGAATTCCTCTGGAATCCCTGTTTGGGTCAGGAAAAGTCCTGGAAGGGCATTTGGATCAAGGGTTGATCCCAACATTGGGAATTCCACCTGGTTTTATGGGATTGAGGCGCTCCAAGTGCTCTCCACGATGAGGAATTCCCACCTGGAATTCCTCTGGAATCCATGTTTGGGTCAGGAAATGTCCTTGGAAACTGG